GATTTAAATCTTTCTTCCAATTTACATTTGTTTGACGAGGCTTCGTATTTAAGCCGGTGTAAATTGTTGCTTATGTTTTTAATGCCATGTGGTTTTAACTGTTGTTTTTCGAAAGGATCCCAAGAAAAGGAGAAATGTTAAACTGAATAACAGGGGTTAAGGGCCAGGAGAAATGACTATACTAACCAACCCCGAACTATATTGTGTATTTTAAATGGTCACTGCACTTTTTTTCTTTGTAGTTCACTCCTTATCTATATTTTCTGATGATCCAGGATGATTTTCCTCGAACAGATATTCCATATAAGTCAGCAGAAGAAAAGATCAGATATTCCTTTAACAAATTGGTTTCATAGAACTTTGGTTTGAGAAAATAATGTTTGCTTTAATAGATAATATCTGAGGTGCCCGGCGTTGGCCGTGGAATTTAAAAAATGAAATATAAAAAATGCGATTTAATAATTAATTTTTTATAGCTAACATAAGTATATAAACCCTTTGGCTTGCTTCGACTTTGTTGGGTCCCAAAGCATCCCTCGCTACGCTCGTGATGCCTAAGGATCTAACAAGGTCTTAGAAAGCTTCGGCAATGTATATTTATTGTATCCCTATTACCTCCCTGTAATGAAAAGATATATATAGTTGTTAAAGCAGAAACACGCTACGATATCTTTCACATAAATTATCATGCTCATAGCTCATAGCTCATAGCTTAAAACTTTAGAATTGGATTCCCTTAAACCCGATCGCTTAAAGGGAGTGACCGGCTATGTAAGGTAGTTGAACTGAGGACGCAGTGTTGTGGAAAAATTCTCTATGATTCATTTGAGACATATTTCACTTTTTAAAAGTCTGTAAATCCTGAGTTTGAGCGCAAATTCAACGTTCAAAACTCCTGATTTGGGGGTGGATACGTTTTCAGAATTAGTTTTTTTTAAATTATTAATTAACGACGACATAAAATGTAAAAATATTCTAAAATAAACTACAGATGTCATGTTTAGGAACATTTTGAGAAAATAAAAATTAATCTTATCATCGAAAATAAGTAATCTTGTTCAATTATTAGTTTCTATTATCTCATTATTCTAGTTTCTTGTTATTCACAAAGATGTTCGCAGATTTTCTATAACTATTATTGAAAAGACGACATTTAAAAGAATTTGAAGAAATCTGCGAATAAATTTAAAGAAAATTAGAAATTCAATATAATAATGAAAACGAAATAATCCATTTTAGCATTGATTTATTGACAAATTTCTTTTGTGAAATATGTTCCTGGCCATCTAATTAGGTTACTGTATAATTTTTACTTTATTATTCGTTGTCGTTATTTAATAATAACCATTGTGGAATCTTATGATTTTCTTAATACTCTCATTTGGTACACTCTGATTGGTGGAATTGGTGAAAAAGAGGAGATATCTAGCATTGATCTCATTATCCCCGATTCTAAAGTTTTCAGCTCAGATTAAAGGTTAAATGATACCGTTGTGAATCGGGATCCCTCTTTATATGGGACCTCGCTTGAAATCATAGCTGCACCCCTTTAAATGTGTTGTTAGAATAAACCTGGCAAGGAAGAAGCCTAAAAATCCAGATTTTTTTCTTTCTTATTTCAACTTTTCAATTTTAAAGTTTTTTTAAGAAACAGCGGAAACAGTGAGCGTGGAATTGTGAAACGGAAGACGACATTTAAGCAATAAATCTGCATAAAGTTGTGAAACGGAAGACGACATTTAAGCAATAAATCTGCATAAAATTGTGAAACAGAAGACGACATTTAAACAATAAATCTGCATACAATTGTGAAACGGAAGGCGACATTTCAGCAATAAATCTGCATAAAGTAAACAGTTTTACTAGTATTTTAAAAATCAACTTATAAAATGAACTGCCTATGTGTACATTACACAATTGCTTAGTTTCATGTTCATTGAACATATTTGAAATCATAACACGAGTTTTACAGTCGTCTTCCTTTTCCACAGTTTTCTAGGTCTCACTCGCACGTCGTCATGCAAATTGCAAATATTATAATGTGGAAATAGAAATAAATTTAATTAAACATATTTTGATTAGATTGTTGTAAATCTAAAACGGATTGATAATACTCGCCGCTCACGAAACAAATCAGAACAAGAGAGGGCAGTGCACAAAGAACCTTAATAGTAGAAAGACTTATACATAGATATAATCTTCTACCTTAGGTAAGTGCAGCTCCCAAGTTACATTGATTCATATAACTCAGACTATTAACATAATATAGCCTGATATAGTCTACAGTCTACAGTCTACAGTCTACAGTCTACAGTTTACAGTCTACAGTCTAAAGTCTACAGTCTACAGTCTACAGTCTACAGTCTACAGTCCCAGTCTACAGTCCACAGTCTACAGTCTACAGTCTACAGTCTACAGTCCCAGTCTGCAGTCTACAGTCTACAGTCTACAGTCTACAGTCTACTTTCTACAGTCTACATTTCAACAGTCTACAGTCTACAGTCTACAGTCTGCAGTCTACAGTCTACAGTCCACAGTCTACAGTTTTCAGTCTACAGTCCACAGTCTACAGTTTTCAGTCTACTGTCCACAGTCTACAGTCAACAGTCTACTGTCTACAGTCTACTGTCTACAGTCTACAGTTTACAGTCTACTATCTACAGTCTACAGTCTACAATCTACAGTCTACAGTCTACAGTCTACAGTCTACAGTTTTTAGTCAACAGTCTACTGTCTAAAGTCTACAGTCTACAGTCTACAGTCTACAGTCTACAGTCTACATTCTACAGTCTACAGTCTACAGTCTACAGTCCCAGTCTACAGTCTTCAGTCTACGTATACAGTCTACAGTATGCAGTCTACATTCTAAAGTCTACAGTCTACAGTCTATAGTCTACAGTCTACAGTCTACTGTCAACAGTCTAAAGTCTACAGTCTACAGTCAACAGTCTACTGTCTACAGTCTACAGTCTACAGTCAACAGTCGACTGTCTACAGTCTACAGTATATTTCTTTTATAAATTTTTATTTTAATTGCAACTGTGACCGGCAGGTTTCCCGACGCTCTAGTACCCTTGTATTTGAAGAGATTGTATATCCTAAAATTGTATTAAAATCTAATAGAAAAAAAGAGGTATAACAGAGACAAAAACAGGCAGATTTTGTCTTTTGTAGATTGAACTTGTATTTTGGATTTGTTTCGAAACTAGTTCATAAACCGAATATCAGGGATTTTCGAGATCTGTCATTTGCTCCCTCTGTTAAGAACGTGTACAAATGTTTTACTCTAAGTTCCCGTACTTTGTTTCATAATACCCTAAAATGTACTTCCTAAGTGAGTATGAATGAATGGGATTTATCAGCTTTTCAGTTTGTTGGTCTAAATACATCTGTTTATGTTTATTCTTGTTGAATCAGCTTTCTATTATATCTGAGAAACTGTGGTTTGTCTGTCTAAGCAGCTTCCTCAATCTCGATATCTTGTTCAGCTGCTCCAGTTCCGTATCTATTTAGGCAGCTTCTCCAACTCGATATCTTTTTAGCTGCTTCAGTTTAGTACTTATTTCAACTAGATATTTCGTAAGCTGCTTCAGTTCGGTATCTCTTACACTGCAATTTTAGCTGCATCTTGATTGTCCGCTACTTTAGTTGTTCCTACAATATGGGATGCCTCTACTACATTCCCAGATGCTTCCTTCAACACCAGAGCTGCTCCTAGAGTCTCTGATATGTTAGCTGTTCATTTCCCGAGCTGCTTCTAGGGCCGGGTGCTCAAGGGATAAATTTTAAATTCGATATTTTTGAGTCTTTGTCACTAACTCTGGTTTCCTTGTCCTTACAACTTTGCAACCTAATGACGTAGCCCTTAAATATTTCAATCTATGAATTTTGTTAGGTCAATTAATCTTACTTTAAAATATAATTGGTTTATACCATCAGGTTGCAAAGATATAGGAATTAGAATATTCGAGTTTGTGACAAAGACTCAATTCCTTTAAGCTAGTATTTATTTAATTTTTGTACATCTAAGGGAAGAAATATTTAAGGATTTCTAACATTAAACTAGGTATTACAAAACTAAAATTTTCAATACACTGAACTAAATGTAAAAATACTTTTGATGGATACACAAAAAAAATTTCAAAGTTTTACTCCCTACAGTCACGCATCCAATAACAAGTTTTGAATTAAAAAAAACAAAGTTCAATATGGTGTTGTTTTACTTTTCAAATTTAATCTCTTTAATTTTTAGCTTTTTGCAACTGAGTGCCATTTATGAATGAATTTCTAGGTGCCATATTTGTTTTTGTCTGTTTATGTTTAAACCGTGTTTTAGAATGCTATGAAACGTATGAATAAGAAAAGTTTAATTTAAAGATTAATCATGTTTAAAAGAACTATATAGACTGCTAAACTCCAATTGGACATTTTGTAGCTTTAGATATTTTGTAAAATTTTACAATGAATAATAAGGTTAAACAAAAATCAGTAACATTTTAACAGTAAACTAAAGATTTTTTTAAAACTTTGCACTGAAAGTTTTGCGTAGTTTTCGTTATATCTCATTTATTTATTGATAGATTGTGATCAAACATTCTAAAATATTGATAGATATTGTGATCAAACATTCTAAAATATTGATAGATATTGTGATCAAATATTCTAAAATATTGATAGATATTGTGATCTAACATTCTAAAATATTGATAGATATTGTGATCAAACATTCTCAAATAAACGGAGATATTATTTGAAATATTTTTTTTACTAATAGAAAATAAATTAAATATTTTGAAAGTACATTTGTAATTATTAACTATTTAAATAATTATAATTCAAGTACTTTTAAATGAAAAAAAATCTTTAGAAATTTCTTGAATAGGTTTTATATGATTGATGATGTTGTCCATTTCATTCAGTGACCCCCACCTGTGAATATTTCAACAGGCAATAAGTCAATAATTATTAACGGAAAAAAACCAAATTTCTAAACATGTGAATATTATTTGATTTATAAATGAACCAACTTTATATGACAGTTTAGTTGATGTGAAGAAACTATAGTATGAGTTTCTTCACTATTTTGCTCCTTGTTCCAGGTAACATTTTTAAAATCAGAATCAAAATAAATTTTTATTAGTTGTTGTATTTGTGATAGCATGGAAATCACAATAACAATTCCTTATCGAAAGTTATTTTTGGATTTTTAATCAAAACTTCAAAGACAACTTTTAAAGTTGAACTTATTTTTCAGCACTATTTATAGTCTAATTTTCTTGATTAAATGAGCTTACAAAAACATCCGCAGAGGTATAAATATTTAAATTTTGATGTACAGTACATTTACAATCAAAATAATTGTCAGTATTTAACCCTAAAAACGCACGGTAGTTGGGGTAGTGAGGGTAGTTGCTATTCAGATTCAGCTTCAAGGGTGAGGGTGGGGTCTCTATTAAAACAGACGGTAGTTGGGGTAGTAAGGGTAGTTGCCATTCAGAATTTTCTTTAAGACCGGGTGGGGTCTCTCTAAAAAACAGAAGGTTGTTGGGGTAGTTGGGTTTAACTATAACCCTCACTACCCCAACTACCGTCTTGTTTTAGAGAGACCCCACCTCCACCCTTGAAGCTGAATCTAAATGACAACTACCCTCACTACCCCAACTACCGTCTTTTTTAGAGAGACCCCACCCCCACCCTTGAAGCTGAATCTGAATAGCAATTACCCTTAATACCACAACTACCGTCTGTTTTTAGAGAGACCCCATCCCCACCCTTAAAGCTGAATCTAAATAGCAACTACCCTCCCTACCTCAAACACCTTCGGTTTTTTAGAGAGACCCCATCCCCACTCTTACTATGGTTTTATTCTTTGCGCATAGTATACAATATGGGTACCGATTTCCACTAAATTAGGTGTTTATAGCTTGTTTCAGATATTCGTAATACTCTCTGACCTCTGTTATCCGCACTACCCCCCTTCTGAAGGGTGCACAGTTCAAAGTTGAAAAACGGGGTTTTTATACTTACTGGGGTGTTCCCCCCCCCCCCCTTAGTTTTTTTTAAGTAGTAATTTAAAGGATTTTTTGTTAAATTTTGTTATTTTTTATTTATAGGGTAGGAAACAGGCGGAAAAAAGTCTGGTTTGTGAAAAAAACTTAAGCTATATTTTTGAAAAGCCCTTGAAAAATGCACGTATAAACATGTGTCACACTCTGATATTTGTTTAAAACAAAAAAATATTTGTTTTCACTTTTTTGGCCCTTTGAATAAATGTTTTCAAAAGTATCTCGCAGATCATAAAAAATAAAAAAATGTTTTGTGAATTGGTCTTATGTTTATTGGGGCTATGTCATTTGGCCTACAATCATTTTGCCTACAATCATTTGGCCTACAATCATTTGTCCTAAAAATCATTTTGCCTACAATTATTTGTCCTACAAATCATTTGTCCTACACATCATTTGTCCATGACACCTCATTTGTCCTACATATCATCTGTCCTAAAGAGAGGAGATAATATCATTTGTCCTACATGATGTTGTATTCCGGATTGTTTGGTATATGAGTGAACAGTCCCTTGAATCCAACAGGAAGCCAGATGAGTCAGTACATCCCGGACCGCTGCAGCGTAGACACAAGTCGCACTGCACATAGCCGTCCAGGGACCTGTGCTACATACCGTGCACAGACAGCTTACAGAGAGAACCTTTCTGAACGAGAGAGAAGAAGAAGACGATGAACCGAGTTCCAGTCATAGTGCGGAACCCTGCCTATATTGAGGAGCTAGATGGAGAAGATGTGGATCCAGCAGACCTTGCTCCTCTCATAAGTGGAAACACTCCAATTGTCACTGTTCCTGCTTCAGAGGATGAAGATGTAGCTGAGGAGATTGTAGAGGATTGAGATGATGATCCTGATGAGGAAGATCTGCCCAAGAGATTGCAGGACGTCCTCGAAGAGCTAGAGGAGCTTAATAGAGAAGTGACTCAGGGCTTACAAGGATTGGACCAGGAGCTAGAGAGTATAATGTCCCTTAGGGACTTGATAGATATAAACAGGTTTAAGTACTTGTATAAATCTTATTAAGTGTAGATTTTAGATACCATTTATTGCACGTATTTGTGGTTCCCAGATACCACAATGAGAGACATCTTTTGTCCTTCAATTTAATTACAGCTTACATTATTTGTCCTACAGAGATGGGATAAAATGACTTGTCCTACGATTGTAAACATCATTTGTTCTAAAGTAATGCTTAAAAAGTTGAATTTAATTCCTTTTAATATGTTAAATAGTATGCTGTCATCTCACCTTCTTTTGGGTTAGGACAGGTTAAAACAATTTCTGTACTGAGCGTTGCAGCTAAGATGGGAAGGTTGGTCGAGCGCTGTGACATCTCTCTTTAATGTTAAATAATATGTTGTCTCTCACCTTCTTTTGGGTTATGACTGGTTATGACAATTTCTGCGCCAAGCCCTTCTGCTATGATGGGCTAGGGAGCCAGCGCTGCGGCCTCTTAATAAATGCTAAATATTGTGCTATCTCTAACAATTTTTCACCTTATGTCGCTTTACCCACAGTAAATATGTTCACCTGTTTAATATAAATAGAATGTTTATACTTTAGGACAGATGAATTTTTGCCGCTCTGTAGGACATGATTTGTAGGACAAATGATATGTAGAACAATTGATATGCAGGACAAATGATGTTTCCTCTATGATTTGTAGGACAATTATTATAGGACAAATAATTGAAGGACAAATGATTGTAGGACAAATGACATAGCGCAGCTCTATTTCTCCAATCACATAAACCAACCTATGTGACACAGAGAATAGTTCTTAATTCAAATTCTCACAAAAAACAGATTGATTGAAACTAAACTACTTCTGCAAGTAATATGCTTCATTAAATCTTAACAAAAAAATAACCTTTTTCAGTAAAATCTAGATGCAGGTGTTTTGGACCCCCCCCCCCCCTCCATATTCCTAGAATTGGTTGGCAATCTTTCTATTTATTTAAGTCTAACAGGGAATGTAAAATCGCACAAGGTTGCCAAAAAATATTAAGATTGGCAGAGGGGAGGGGGGTAAAAAAAACAATGAGATAACAGAGCCAAATATTATTCAAAATTATTTTCTTGTTCTGAAAACAAACTAGGAAGTGATACTTTCAGTTTAAAAGTCAAAAATTTGAAATTTTTTGTCTTATTAATACATATTTTTATTTTTATTAAGGAGTGATCGGGAACTCCCTTGTTTCTGTGAGTCTTCAGAAGAGTAGTTCAGTGTGCTGCATGAGTGCTAAAGTAAAGACATGTAATGTGGCATCAGTTGACCCATCTATGCTTGGAAAAGGAACTTTGACATTACCAGGAGATATTACTGTTTCATTCCTTAATATGGTTGCTGGGAACCCAAATGCATATCACTACGGAAGTGATGTTGCCAATATTATCATCACACATAACCCAAGCACAGGTGGTATTCATGGTCATTTCATGACATCATCTGGATTATCTTATACCCTGGAATATTGTGGAGATGCAGGGCATGTATGGAAAGAAGTTGATGTTCAAAATCTTGGTTCCAATGAGGGAATTGATTACATTGATGTCCCAGAAATAGCTGTTGATCCTCTAGAAAGAGTTGTCAATCCACGACCAGTTCATGATGACTTTTTAAGGCAAGGTTTAGCTGACAACACTACTATTTACACATATTCTGTCAAGTTTTATTATACCCCATCATTTTCTGCTGTAACTCCTGACATTGAAGGATTTATAGATCAAGTACTAGCAGAAACTAATCAAGGATATGCAAACAGCCTGGTTCCCTTAAGGGTTGTAAAACATTGCTCAGAGCTTTCAACCATAGATGATGTTCCAGCTTCTTCTGATATGTTAAATAACTTTAGATACATGAAATCCTCCACATCTGAACTCAGAGGATCTGCAGATGCTGCAGCTCTTTTGATAAACGACTTCAGCTCTTGTGGTATTGCTTACCTAAATGTAATATCTAGTGGTAACATGGTTTCTGTAACAAAGAAAAGTTGTGCTGTCGGGTATTATTCTTTTGGCCATGAAGTTGGTCACAACATTGGGTTGCACCATGATCCACTTGTAGCAACTAACACTGTATATCCTTATGGGCATGGTCATCTGATTGCACAAGGAAGTGCTAATACTGGATATAGAACCATACTTGCTTATTCAGCAACAGGACACAATACCAGAGTCAATTACTATTCAAATCCTAGTGTTATATTACCAACCACTGGAACACCCACAGGAGTTGAGGGGATTTCAGACAATGCTGCTCTTTTAACTTTAAACAGAATTATCTTGTCTGCCATTGGTGATGAGTCTTCCGCATGTTCTACAGCTACTACAGCTGCACCAACCACTGCTGCTCCAACATCAGCACCAACCACTGCTGCTCCAACATCAGCACCAACCACTTCAGGTTCAACTACCCCGACTGAATGCACAAGTGAAAATGGCATTACAAAACTAACCCTGCTGAGGAGAATAAATAGAGTAAGAAATCAGAAAGCATGTTATCAGCTCTGCCTTGATGATGCTAACTGTGATTATTGGTCGTTCTTCTACCATCGTCAGTTGCGAAGGCGACAGTGTAGGCTCTTTGCTATCACTTACAGGCCTTGGAACAAGTGGACCAGTGGACCAAGAACTTGTTAATTATGTGTTTCTTTTTTAAATTGGATTAAATAATTTTTGCTAAATGATTTACATAAATAAAATTGGCTACATTTAAAAAAGTTGTTTATGATTTATTCAATGTGTTTCCTTATTGTATTTATTTTACTCTAAAGCGCTGTTATCTTTTGGATGGTTCAATTCCAAACTTGATATATAAACTAGGGTTTCCAATCAGAATTTGTTTTTTTTGAATTGCACAGAATTGCACACAACTGTGCGGAATTGAGCGCAACTGTTCTAGTATTGCGAGGAGTGGTGCAGAATTGCAAGGAAAAAACAGGTCCTGCAATTGCATTGGGAACCCTAATATTAACCTTATACTTAGAAAATTAGAAGAAAAAAATCTAATCTTTGAACGAAAATTGTTTACAAAATTTTTATATAAGCCATTTTTGAGACTTCAGATTAAATTGGAAAAAAAGTTTTAAAACAAAAGGTTTATAGAATAATTATAAAGATATTTTGCCTTAAAACTATTTGATTTAAGTGGAAAAGAAGTTGTTATTCCTACTTGACTTGACAATTTAAAAAATGACCATTAATAATATGATTTATTATGATAATTAATTTATTGACATTTTTTAATAGTTGATAGTGACCAGTTTTTCCGCTATATTGAAATATAGCGGATGTAGCCATGTGACCACATACTAAATGGCAATTAATGGAAATTCTAGTTGCGACATGCAGAAGGAGCCATGTGAACAGACACTGCACTGCACTGCCATTGGTGGAAATTATGGTCATGTAGTACAGACATAATAATTATATTATCTATTATATCCATTTAAATTTAAAGGTATTTATTAAAATTATAATAGGAGCGTGCGTACCTAACATTTTTAGGAGCCTTTGGATTATCCAAATTTTAATATTTTTTCCCTGTTTGCCTAATATGATCTGTAATAAACATTTATTCATATACCATATCAGATTGTAAAACTACAGGAGGGAAAAATTGATTGATTGACTGTAAGTTGGTTGATAAATAGATAGGTAGACTTGATGGTTGTAAGTAGCTTGATCAATGGGTAGATAGATTGTAGAGTTAATTAGGCTCCTTAACTCAGGTAGTCACAAATATTCACTAAAATAGATATTTTTTAAACCTGCAATAAAATGTGGTTATAGGAAAAACAAATGACAATGTATAAATGTAAAGCTTACTGGTTTTCTGTGTCGAGGTGAAAGTAGTGAATAAGGATCAGAGGGTGTGATGGGATAGTTAAAAACATTTGTAAACATTTCTGAAAATATAAACCCTGTTTTTAAGTGTAATTTACTATGGATCACAGAATTATTTGTGGATTTAATCTTTCATTTAGTAAAATTTTCATGGTTTCGAATTTTCCTATGTTGGGATAGAGAGGTTGAGTTGGAGAAATTGTTTGGTTTGGATTTGGGGTTGGTAAAGACGACATTACGTGTGGGTTGGTGGGGGTTAGGAGATAGGTTTATGGTCAACACATATACATATTAGGTTTTTTCAACAAATTTATCTGTATATTTTTTTTCTCATACTAATTATTCCATATGAAGTATAAGACACATCAAATCTAGAATAATAATTTTAGGAAACTGTTGGCATTTTTTGTTGAGCCAGTTGATAGTCTTGATAAGCCTTAAGCTGCTGACCATAGCAGTGTATACCGGGATGTTTTTTTCGAGCAAACTCTGTCCTTTAATGAGGATATATAATCCTGGTTACTATTAAGTATTTGATCTGTGTAATAGTTATTTTTTAATACAATGCTTTTTACCCATTCTATATATATTTATTGTATATTGTATTGAATATTGTAATCCTTACATCTATCTTGCTCTCATCGCTTCACGACAGGATCAGCCCCCCATGAAAAAATGTATCAATAGGCTAATTTACACAGGCTCTAGACTCTATTAGTCTTCAGACAAGAGAAAGGCTGTATAATGTGTACATATGCGTACAACTAATTATATAGATATATATTCATGGATCGACCATAAAATGTAATGTAATAATCAATCTAGTTTGAAATATATTATTATCACTATTAGTATTATTACAAATAAACCTGGTAACCCAAAGACGACAATTTGAACGTCTTTGAATCGAATCCAAAGAATTTATTTTGTTGATCATTTTGATTCATTCGTTTAAAGTTTAATATATATATGCTTGTCTGTCTGTTTGTCTGTTTGTTTGTTTGTATCCAATAAACGTCAAAACGGCTGAACCGATCAGGCCCAAATCACGTGACCACAGGGAAGGTTTTTGAATGATCAAAATTTCAAATATTTGTCTCCATCAAAGTTCGATCTTCATTAAACTTTTGAAAATTTTGAAAATCCACGATTTTTTTTGTGAAAATCCGCGAATTATTTTTGTTTTGTTTTACGATGTACACTAAGAGAACATGTTCACTATTAATTTAGAAGATGGGCGCGAAGCGCCCTATAAGGCTAGTTTTATTAAACTTTGCAATATGTATATCCTTAAAAAATGAAAAAATTAACTAAAAACAATTGTTTTATCACGATTCTTTTGGGTTGTCTTTTTTTCCCCCATATTTTTTCTCTCAGGGTCTAATATATTTTTCTTTATTATTGCATATCATAAACATTGAACATTGAATTTAGGATAAGACTCAAATCTTTTCAAGCTTAACTTTAACCATAAAATCAAAACCAAAAAGCACAAATAAAAAAACTGTTGCCCCCCCCCTCCTCCATATCTAATAATATTAGGGTTAAGCTGATGAAATATAAAATTTTTAATTCATATTAAATTAATGATACAGCTTGATATTGCCTGTATAAGAAAACCTTGATTTTACCAACTAACAGATGTTTTTACCTTATGCTAAAACACGCACCGTAATTATTTATCTATTGTCGTGATCTAATATTGAAGATTTATATCATAGTAATACCAGAATGCTGCCTTGCAAAAGAACTTGGGTAACCTATATACATAATTACTTTGCTTGCTTAAAAAAGTTGTGGGGGAGTTAAAACTTCTTTATATTTTCTTTAAAACTGCTCAATGATAAGTACCGGTGCCCTTCATGGGCGGTGTCCTCTCTCCTTTTCTCTTTGTTAACGATCAATAAGGGAGGGTCGTCGTTAACGATCGTTAACAAAGGGTAGTCATTAACTATCGTTAAAAAAAGGGATGTTGTTAACTATCGTTACAGAAACTATAACGAGCTGTATAAAAACGATCATTTTGAAAAACGATCGTTTCGTTTGCCTTTTTTGTCGTCGTTTTCATAACAAAACGAGAGTTTTTGTTTAAAAATTGAAACGTTAACATCCCTACTTGTCTGTCCGTTTGCATCCAATAAACGCATAAACCGCTGAACCGCTGAGACCCAATTTTTTTGTTAGACCTCACTGAACCCCAGATAAGGTTCATAGATGGTCAGAAATCAAAATAATTATATTTTTCCCATGTCAAAATCTACGAAAAGAAAGTTTATAAATCCGCAAAATTTTGTTTGTTACGGATAGATAGAGCAGCAATTAATTGAAAGTAATAAGCGGTCACACAATCAATTAAAAAAAGGACAAATAATTTATTTTCAATTTTAGGTGAAAGCCCGGCGTTTTCGTCTGACTATATTTTTGATGTTCTGTGGTTTCTGCATATTCTTCAATTTTCCTCAAGTTTACCAAGGAATTAATCAGTTAATTCAGTATTCGTATTATTATTATTAAAGCTATATGCTTTATGCACAGAACATAAAAAAATGAGTTTTGTACCCAACCTCTTTTATTTAATTCTCTATATCTTTGTAACACAATGTCGTATATCTTTGACATTCAAAACTATTAGTTTTGTTAGATTAAATAGAACGTCCAAGTTTGTATTACCAAATTGTCACACCATCAGGTTTCAAAAATAGTGATTATTAGGATGGGTTTTATACTTTAACCTATACATTAAAAAATCAATTTCTTCTGCAAAGAATTCTTGAAATTACTTTTTCTTAAATTAATAAGAATATCTATGTTAATGCTTATTTTGTACAAAACCTTGTTTTCTAGGACAGAATTGAGAAGGTCATACAACAATTGGAGAGTCAATCTAAGAGGAACCCAATAAAAAACTGAATATTAAAAAAAAATATTAAATTATTATTTTAACACAAAAATATTTCTGAAAAAGTACTAACAACACTTTCCGGAGATAAGATAAAGAAAATATTATTTTTATTTTGTATTGGGTTTCTTTGAAAAGTGTGAGTGCTGAAGAAGCAAAGCAGGATCTGTTCCACCTAGGGTCAAGGGTCAAATCTAAAATTGGATTAAGAATTTGGGTAATTTTCTATATTTAGAATTTTTCAAAGGAATTGAACTGCAATTACCTCATATTGTAAAGAACATACATTGGAAACATCGAAAGAATTAAGAAAACACTTGTTTTTTCAACCAACTGATCATGGAATACTGCAGATAACAAGCGCGTAGCAACTTTGAATTGTATATATCTAGGGCTACAAAAAAGAATAAGAGTTGGTGAGGTGTTACAAGGTTTTACGACACTCTTTAAAGTCGAGTTTGTTTAAAACTTTGACAATATAACTTTCATAGTTTTCTAGATTTCAGTCATATGCAAATCTCATATTTAATTATTTATTTTTACAAAAAACTAAAGTTTTTAACGACATTTCATAAATTCGTTTAATAGCTCTGAAGTTAGCTGGGCTAAACTGTAAATCTTTGTAACCTGATATTTCGAACTATAGAAATTTTGAAAGATCAAAACTCAGGAAACCCTGGACCGATTTGCCTCAAATTTTGATAGAGAAATTCTGGAGACCCACGGGAATGTTCTTGGCTTGGTTGTGGGATTCTAAGTCAAGATTTGGTCGACTTTAATAGCGAAAACTTAGTTTCCCGGTAAAATCTTTCAAGTGCGGGTAAACGGCGAGAGTAACTTTTAGTAACATTAGCAGCGCTGGGTTCCCAAGCTAGTTAGTGAAAAAAGTTCCACCGAAAATTTGTTAACTCTGACATTTTGTCTAAAGAAACTGATATTTCAAACCATTTTATATTGCTTACATAGTATCCGCAATAACAAACAAAATGTTTATAATTTAAAACTCTTTTTGTGTACTTTTGGGATCATTTCAACAAGTCGAAACTGCTGAACAGTTTATTTGGGAACATGAACCCAAGAATAAAATTTTTTCGATTTTTATAAAGTTTAAAACATCCATTAAAAAACGCGACATTTTTTTTTATTGTTTGATAATAATCCCTATATTTTTGCATCCGAATTTCGCAACTTTAGATAGTTCAAACTATGAATTATATGTTAGATCAAATAATAATAAAATATTAAAGGTTTACATCGTCTGATTAGAAAAAATTAAATTTGTGGCAAAGTCTCTAGTCTCTTTAAGTCTCTTTAAATCGGAAGATAATTTAACTTTTAATCAAATACTATTTTATTTTTCCTGAGCATTTCACTTAGATATCCCGAACATTAAGTTTCAAATAGATTTCCCGAACACTTTCAGATAGAAATCCCGAACATTAACTTTTAAATAGATTTCCCAAACATTACCTGTCAGATAGAAATCCTGAACATAACTTTCAGATAAATATCCTGAACATTAACTTTCAGATAGATATCCTGAACATTAACTTTAAGATAGAAATCCCGAACATTTTCAGATTGATATCCATAACATTAACTTTCAGATATATATCCCGAACAATAACTTTCAGAATGATATCCAGAACATTAACCTTCAGATAGATATCCCGAACATTAACTTTCAGAAAGATATCCAGAACATTAACCTTCAGATAGATATCCAGAACATTAACCTTCAGATATATATCCCGAACATTAACTTTCAGATAGATATACCGAACATTAACTTTCAAAAAGATATCCAGAACATTAACTTTCAGATAAATATCCAGAACATTAACCTTCAGATATATGTCCCATAACATTCACTTTCAGATAGATATCCCGAACAACTTTCCTTGGAGAAACTGTCTAACTAATTACAATAATGTGGTTGCAAGCACACAATGTATACTGAAGAGGTGATAATTATAATTTATTATTAAATAATGTATTCAAATTCTAATGATACATTAAAAGTTTCTAACATGTCATAAAAAAATGAGTTAAAAAAATTTAGTTTTGATTGTATGCACAAGCGTATGCGAAAACAAAGTTTAAATAAAAAATTCAAACCATGTTTTCATCGAAAAATCTCTACCAAGAAAGGGAGCTATAATGACTATGACTTACGTACAAATTAATCTATATTTATATATATGTAAATTTGCAGGACGTTGTATATAATTAATGATCAATGTTTGTAAAATTCAACGTAAGAAAACATTATTCGTTTGAACTGCATTTCAAATGAATACGTAGCATGGGTAGCTTAATTATGTGATATATAATGACGTATATCTTAAATTGTGACTATTTGGATCGTGTCCTGGTGGACTTTAATAGCGGTTGCACCTGGACTGATACAGTTTGGGGAAAGTTTTAAGAGTACGGCATTTACTACATATATTCGTTATATTATAAATAATTATTAATTATGATTAATTATTATTATTATTAAGATTGTTGCGTGTTCACGGATATATCAAATCTATATTCTATATATATATATATATATACTTTGCTTGTTTTCCTGCCGAATTCTGTGTGGGACCTCGAGTGACCCCAGGAAAAACTTATGTATGAACGAATTTTCAAAAATTTGCCACTAACAAAATTCTATTTTTGAAAATGTTGAAAATCCACGAAATTTTTTTTGAAATCCGCGAAATTTTTTGTATTTGTTTGCAATGAACACAAATAGAACATGTTCACAATTGAAATAGAAGATTGGCGCGAAGCGCCCTTAAAGCAATCTATTATATATGTTAGTTATAGCTGGTCAAACGACTGGACTTAATTGGCTGACATTTTTTGAGGGAATCCATGGGTAAGGGGGGGGGACATAGGCTAAGAAAATAAATTTTATTTTAGAAATAAAATTTTATGCTTCTATATTCTACGGACAACGCTTTAATTTGACATCAATATTTTGATTAAGTCATACTGGTTCGACATGGAGAATACCTGATTGGAATTCATCTTTTCAACTCTTCAATACAGAAGCCAAACAGTAAATTAAAAATTAACGGACATTGAAAATTTCCGAAATAGTTTTGTAAAATTCTCAAATTAATATACCAAAGAGAAACTACTCAACTCTTCTCCTTTCATAGACTTATTATTCATTAGGTATTTCTATATAGAAACACTGAAAGTACTTTTAAACTTAATATTTGGAGATTTATTCAAAGAGTTTTTTTTTTATTTTCAAAGGTAGTATATCAATAAGTTTTGAGAATTACATGCAAAAAAAAAAACAAAGGGAGAAAAGAAACAAGGGGTCGAGTCGAGTCGAGCGCAAAATCAAATTTTCTGATTTTTATATCTTTGCAACCTGATGGAGCAAACCTTTTAATATTCCAGATATAATTTAATCAAACAGAATCCATAGTTCAAATCTAAGGTCTACGATATTGAGTTGCAAAGATACTGGGATTAGAAGATAAGTTTTTTTTACATATTTAAATTTCTACAGGAATCGAGTTTTTGTCACAAGCTCAAATTTTCTTATCCCTCTATCTTTGCAACTTGACGGCGTAAACCTTTTTTAACCAGACTATTCAATTTGACAGCATTTATTGTTTGAAATATCAGGTCTACAACCTCAAGTTGCAAAAATATAGGGATTAGAAAATCAGAGTTTGTGGCAGAAACTCAATTCCTTCAGATCTTTTTCTAATGTTTGTTTTATTTTAAAGATGTCTAGAACCGGCGCCAAGTGATTCTACCACGAACATAATTCAAGCAATCATTAAAGATTGCAGTGAAGGTATTTTTATTATTCATTTAAAAAAGAAACCCTTTAAAGAAAGTGACTGCAGAAAGTGTCACGAAAGAAGGTGTGGTTTGTGTAAAGAGATTTAAAACTGTACAATTCCTCTAGATTAATATTAGACCCAAGAGTTAGTAATGAAACTTCCATATAAGAATATTAAAAAATATCCCTCTTTTCAATCTATAGTAACCATATCATAAATAAACACATATATTTTATTTTGTAAAATTTTCTTTATTTGCTGTGGTGTTTATAGGTGAGCGAAAAAACTTTTGTATTTGATAATGATCGGTTGATTTCGATATCCACGTTGGGCACTTTTAATTTGAGGGTCAATAAAAAACTATAAGTTTCCATGTGAATTGATCTATTTTAAAAGATTTTTTAAGAGGTGCAAGTTAAAGAAATGGAAAGAATTGACAACAAAATGGAATCTTAAAAGGAGGAGGTCTAATACACCAGTATTTTAAATCATGTTTCACCTTAATTTTGATTTTTTTTGCCAGGGAGGGTTAACCAATTTTTAATTGATTATGCAATTTATTTTTAACATTCAGGAAGATGGAAATACAATAGTTTGGGTCAACTCAGCTGGAGCAACGGAGGTTGTTTGACCGCTATGGGAGCTGCTCAAGGGAACAGAGTTGAACTGCACCCTTGTAAAGATTCCTTGCAACAACAAAGGTACAGGGTTACTCACAAAGGTTGATTATATAAAGACGTAAAGACGATTGAAAATTTTCAAGTATAACGAGCCCAAGTTTAAATTAAATTAAATTAAATTAAATTTGCCTTGAAAGTAATTTTTAAATTGCTTATTTAATGAATTAAAATGGTGCTGGTCTAGCATGAGAAAGCCAGTCGAACTGCTTTACAGACGAGTTCGTTATTACACACGCACACTCTTTTGGTACAGATAGAAATCCAACGTACAGCTAGGTACAGCAACAAGACGTATTTTCCGGGAGAACATTTTTCATATTTTTGAGAAATCAAACGTTTTTATAAAACATTGTAGCAAATCATTATCATTATCATAATTTATATTTTTTTAATATACCCTAGACATTAAAGGAGCAAAATAGTTTAATATTTACATTTGTACTGCTCTCTCTTGTGTTTAAGGTCCCCCAGATTTCATTGTGTACTGACAACATAAATGAATGATTATCATGGTTATACATAAAATTGCATGTTACTATTTAAAAAAATATTTTATAAAAATGCTATCTACAGTTTTATTTTTTAAAAAAAATCTTAAAAGCATAAAAAAGTTCTCCAGTAATAATAATATGATTTCATAAAATTCCGTTTAATGAAATCTACTTTACACTGATTATTTAATTTCTCAGAAATATAAAAAATATGTTATACGTAGCGGTTTTTATACGTTGGATTTTGGTTTGACTTCGGTACAGACACACAACATAACTTCAGTCAAGGAAATTGCAGAACAATTGTTGTCAATTATAATTAAGTTAGAATAACGAGTAGTTTATTGTAAACTGTAATCAAATTATATTCTTTGCATAAAAATTTGGCTTATATGTGTTGACTTAAGTTTATAAATAATATATTACATGTATTTTAAACTTATTTTCAAGTTAAAAATTAACAATGAAAAAATGTACTCTTCTAGATTCTTATGTACTGTTTACACCTTATACAGTACACGCCTTCGGTTCGTATTACACACACTCTTTTGGTACAGACACACATACATGACGTGTCCGCCCCCCTAAGTCTCATCCTTTGTGGGTAAAAAAAACAATACACAGTTATAATAAGAAAACTGTAGATTAGGAAGACAATATTAAAGCATTTCTAAAGTGCAATTGATGTTGTTACAGAGAAAATAGCTTTACTTTATAAAGTTATTAAAACACTTCTTAAGTAAACTGGGTCTGTTCACACTGCACAATTGCTGTGTTCGTGTTCCTTGGACTATTAAAGTCATAACTTGAGTCTAAAAGTTAAATTCCTATTCCAATTTTGGGATAATTATTTACAACTACTTTACAGGGAAAGTTTAGGCAATTTTACTTAACCAAGAGTTCCCAAGACCAATTTCGCCTACAAAACAACTTATTCGTTCGTTAGACTTTTTAAATTCATAACTCGTTGCTTAAGTCTAATTCAGTCATCAATTCCTATTCTACAATTTTTTATTTGTCCCCCTGTAGGTTGTAATTGTTTTTTAGTGCCTTATGACCAACATCATTCCCCCAACAGAGGGAGGATAAATTACTTGAGACAGCTATGTAAAATAACCACCCGTTCTGCGAAGTTTTCAGGAAAAAATTCGCGCATTTTCGTCTGAAATACGATATAATTGTGAAGAACTACTTTTAGTAAAATTCAAATTTTCCTTAACCACGGTTCACTGAGTTCAATCGACCAATTTTTTCTAAAAAACGTCCCTCACTTCGCTCTGGTTGTTTATTTACAGATTGTTCAGTAATCTAACCAGAAAGCTTTAGAATATAAATGTCGTCTTTTTCTTCATTTTACTTCAGAAATGTCTCTAAGGATTAAAAATTGACACTATCAGAGCAACAGTTAAAATCTAAAATTATTGATAGAAAAAAAAGCACTGATCGCCCTAAAACCCTCCTTTTATTAATTATTTACTTCTTTTACTTTACAGAGAAGTTAAGGGAATTTTACTTTACCAAGGGTTCACAAGATCAATTTTGTCTACAAAACATCCAGAGCGCACCTACGGATGTTTTAAAGACAAAATTAAGTAAAATTTAATATTAAGTAAATTTTTAATTTCCAAAGAAGTTGTACACAATTGTATTGTATGAAAATACGCAAAATTTTTACTAAAAACTTCTCAGAACGGGTGGTTATTTTACATAGCTGTCCCAAGGGACATTAAGTAACCTAACCTTTACTTTTTCAGATTCGAGTTTGGAATTTTGGATTTTGATCCTGCCAAAAATAAGACATTAGTTATTCCCTTGGACTTAAAACAGTGGGAAAGCAGGCAGAATGCCTACAGGCAAGTTTTTTTCATATCTTTTTATTTAAACTAATATTGTTTTTGTCAATTTTGTCTTGAATAATAATTAATATTATTAATATTAAAAAATAAGTTTTTTAGAACAATATATGTTCCCTCACATTTGATTAAACTAATTTTATTTAACTTTTTAGTGAGATTTACACTTTTTGTAACATGTTTGTAAATACCACCTATTTATCCATTTTGCTTGTAACTAATATTTGTTTAAAATGCGCGGCCGTTACACTTAGAAATATGTGCAGTTATCATGAAAACAAGGTTTCGCAACAATCTTTGATTTCCGTTTTGAAATAAATTTGCAACCTGATGTCATAGAGGTATCATATTTCAAGTTCGAAAGTTGCAAAGATATAGGGAATAGAAAATTTGAATTTGTGTGCAAAACCTCAGTTCATTTAAAGATCCATTGCAACATTTCTAAAAAAAAAACTAGAAAAAAGTATTCCTTAGTTTCTGAATTAAATTGAAAAATTGAACAAGAAACAATTAATGGAAAAAAGGATTACACATTTTTTTTTACTTTGTATCAAGTAAAATGATATTAGTATGAAATGGTATTTGTTTCCAGGGCCAAAGAACTTGCTGAGGCCAAGACGGATGTTTTAAATGTTGTAAACGCTCTAAATAATATAAAAGACGAGAGCAAAGAGAAACGTCGAGCTGTCGTCTTCTATTTAGACAAAGGAACAGGATTTTTAGGTGATTTAGAAAAAATATTATTTATGAAATTCTTACGAATAAAAGAAAGGGTTCTTCTATAAAGGTTTCAGCAATTGTAGTAGTAGCAAGTTCATAAAACTTTTTAGCTTAAAGGTAGTGTTCGCGAAAAATGAAAGGGAGTATAGGCTTAGTGCGATTAAAAAGCGCTTTTGATCGCTAATAAATTTACTTCTATATGTTGCGTCTATAAGGAGAAAATTGTTAAAGACGTCGCATACCGAATAACTTAGCGCCCATACAAATTCAGAAAATTGCAACATACAAAGACAGTAAAAAATCAATTTAATTTCAAACAAATCATTCAGATATTTCAACCTAAAGTCATCGATTATCTTTCGCCACATTTGTATATAGTTTATATTTCATAATATTTTTTTTTTTTTAGAAAACGTTTTAACAGATTTCGAAAAATGTGAGTGGTTCGCGGCATTCGTAGATAGTTGCGCAAGCGACAAGAGAAATAATCAAATTCAAAACAAATTAATTAAAAAGAATTATAAAATATAAACTATATACAAATGAGGCGAAAGATAATCTATGACTATAGGTTGTAATATCTGAATGATTTGTTAGAAATTAAATTGATTTTTTTGCGGTCTAAGTCATATGTTGCAATTTTCTGAATTTGTATGGGCGCTAAGTTATTCGGTATGAGACGTCTTTAACAATTTTCTCCTTATAAACGCAACAGATAGAAGTAAGATTATTAGCTATCAAAAGCGTTTATTTATCAAGCCTATATCCCATTTTATTTTTCGCGAACACTCCCTTTAAGCAAGGATAATTAGAAAGAGGATTTACAAAGAAATTACGTCTAAATCTAATCTAAATTTGAATTATCAAAGGTTTACACCACCATGATGGAAAGTTATAGAAATTAGAAAATTTTAGCTTGTGGCAAAAGCTCAATTCTTTAAAACATAAAAATGTTTAAAAATCATACAATTCATATTATTTTCAGCATTTCTTAAGTGGTGGATTCTTGCCTGGAAGTTATTAGGTAATTTAAGGTATTGTTGGGACTTCAAGAAACCCCCAAGTAAACATAAGGTATTATTGTGACTTCAAGAAAGCCACCAGTAAAATTTAATGTATTGTTGTGACTTCAAAAAAGCTCCAAGTAAAATTTAAGGTATTATTGTGACTTCAAGAAACCCCCAAGTAAACATAAGGTATTATTGTGACTTCAAGAAAGCCACCAGTAAAATTTAATGTATTGTTGTGACTTCAAGAAAGCCCCCAGTAAAATTTAAGGTATTGTTATGACTTCAAGAAAGCCCCCAGTACAATTTAAGGTATGATTGTGACTTCGATAAAGCCCCCAGTAAAATTTAAGGCATTATTGTGAACTCAAGAAAGCCCCCAGTAAAATTTAAGGTATTATTGTGACTTCAAGAAAGCCCCCAGTAAAATTTAAGGTATTATTGTGACTTCAAGAAAGCCCCCAGTAAAATATGGGTTATTGTTGTGACTTCGATAAAGCCCCCAGTAAAATTTAAGGTATTATTGTGACTTCAAAAATGCCCTCAGTAAAATTTAAGGTATTGTTGTGACTTCAAGAAAGCCCCAAGTAAATTTAAGGTATTGTTATGACTTCAAGAAAGCCCCCAGTAAAATTCAAGGTATAATTGTGACTTCAAGAAAGCCTTCAGAAAAATTTAAGGTATTATTATGACCTCAAGAAAGCCCCAGTAAAATTTAAGGTATTAATGTGACTTCAAGAAAGCCCCCAGTAAAATTTAAGGTATTATTGTGACTTCAAGAAAGCCCCCAGTAAAAGTTAAGGTATTGTTGTGACTTCAAGAAAGCCACCAGTAAAATTCAAGGTATTGTTGTGACTTCAAGAAAGCCACCAGTAAAATTCAAGGTATTGTTGTGACTTCAAGAAAGCCCCAAGTAAATTTAAGTATTGTTGTGACTTCAAGGAAGCCCCATGTAAAATTTAAGGTATTGTTGTGACTTCAAGAAAGCCCCAAGTGAATTTAAGGTATTATTGTGACTTCAAGAAAGCCCCCAGAAAAATTTAAGGTATTGTTATGACTTCAAGAAAGTCCCCAGTAAAATTTAAGGTATTATTGTGACCTCAAGAAAGTCCCCAGTAAAATTTAAGGTATTATTGTGACTTCAAGAAAGCCCCCAGTAAAATTTAAGGTATTATTGTGACTTCAAGAAAGCCCCGAGTAAAAGTTAAGGTATTGTTGTGACTTCAAGAAAGCCCCCAGTAAAATTTAAGGTATTGTTGTGACTTCAAGAAAGCCCCAAGTAAATTTAAGTATTGTTGTGACTTCAAGAAAGCCCCCAGTAAAATTTAAGGTATTATTGTGACTTCAAGAAAGCCCCCAGTAAAATTTAAGGTATTATTATTACTTTAAGAAAGCCCTAAGCAAAATTAAAGGTATTGTTTTGACTTCAAGAAAGCCCCCAGTAAAATTTAATGTATTGTGTGACTTCAGGAAAGCCCCAAGTAAAATTTAAGGTATTTTGTGACTTCAAGAAAGCTCCTAATAAAATTTAAGGTATTAGTGTGACTTCAGGAAAGCCCCCAGTTAAATTTAAGGTATTATTGTGACTTCAAGAAAACCCCCAGTGGAATTTAAGGTATTGTTGTGACTTCAAGAAAGCTCCCAGTAAAATTTAAGGTATTGGTATGATTTCAATAAAGCCCGCAGTAAAGAGTCCAATTCTCACAAAACCCTGTTTATCGTTATTTAACCTTATCTACCTGAAGTGTTAATTCTGACTATTTTCCCCCATGGCTCACTAGCTCAAATGCACTTTTAAATTTTCAGAGAAACCATTAAATATATTGTCTAGGTTCAATATTTTCTAGATTTTATATTGTCTAGGTTTAATATTGTCTAGGTTTAATATTGTCTAGGTTTAATATTGTCTTAGTTCGATACTTTCTAGGTTTAATATTGTCTAGGTTTAACATTGTCTAAGTTTAATATTGTCTGGTTTAATTTTGTCTAGGATCAATACTTTCTAGATTTACTATTGTCTAGGTTTAATATTGTCTAGGTTCAAAACCTTTTAGGATTAATATTATCTAGGTTCAATACTTTCTGAGTGTAATATTGTCTAGGTTTAATATTGTCCAGGTTTAATATTGTCCAGGTTTAATACCTTAAAGGTTTAATATTGTCTAGGTTTAATATTATCTAGGTGTATTATTGTCCGGGTTTAATTTTGTCCAGGTTTAATATTGTTTAGGTTCAATACTTTCTAGGTTTAATATTGTCTAGGTTTAATATTGTCTACGTTTAATATTATCTAGGTTTGTCTAGACACTGTTCCTATCCCTATATCGTGCTCCTTTGTCAGTAAATCCACCAAATTCTGAGACCCATCTATATGAAATAAAACTTCTTCCGTTGTTCCGGTAGTCCATTCTAACAATCGTAAGATTGTCATGACTCTGTTGTACACAAATAACCTCAACTTGATGGTTTCGCTACTACACCAACTCAGAGCAATTGTTGAATCAGTCAAGTAAATCACCTCTCCTACCTCTGATCCCAAGGAAGATTTAACCATGAAAGCCAATTCTGCGCACAGTAGTATCGCTGATAACTCGTTCCTGGGGATGGTTTCCTTCATCAGCTTTGATTTAGCGGCTAGGAGAGAACACGACCACATGCCTGGGCTGGTTTCCACCCCGGCATACACAGCCGCCCCCCCTGCAAATTCCGCTGCATCTGCTAAACAAATCAGTCGAATTTTTGATTTCTCCTCTTTTTCACCTGGTAGGCAGAACCTTGGTATAATTATCTCAGGCAGGTTGACATAACTCTTGAGAATCTCTCTCCATTTCTCTTGGTCTTCAGCTGGGAGAACCTCATCCCATTCCTTCCCTTTCAATGAACTTGTTTGCAGCTTCATTTGAAGTTTTATTGGCTCAAAAAAACCACACGGATCAAATAACTCTGATATTTTTCCAACTATCAGGCTCCTGGTTAATTTGACTCCACTCAGTACCTTCTCTGCATCTAATCTGGTCTTGACTGGTTCTAGGTTTGGTTTACGTTCTCCTCTGAGTTTCTTGTTCAAATTCAGTTCTCCGATCCCTGGTGACAGTTCATCCTTCTCCGGGTCCCACTTATATCCTAGTAGTTTCATGGTTTCTCCATCCGTGCTTGCTTTCTCAGATGGTTTTTCTCCGCTCCTTACGATAAATTTTAAAGAAAAACCTCCTCTCTTCAGAACTTCCTGCACTGCTTCAATCTGTTCTTCCCTTTTCTGCTTAGAATCCTCTCCAGATAAAATATCACCCATCAAAGCGTCAGTTAAGTTTCTCATCTCATCCTAGTGACACTGAACTGGTTTTACAACATATGCAAAGTTTGCGTATATTAAACAAAAACTGTTAAACCGAGCCAACACAAATTACATCATTGCGTAAGTTTTACATATTTTTTCCACTAAAATTCAAAGTTTTTAAATCGTTCTAAAATTAGACCAAAATTATGACTGAAATACTTAACTGCCCAAAGAATTATTAAATTATTTAATTAATAATATATTTTTTCATTATTCCAATTGAGGATTAAAGGGAGTGTTTACGTAATTTATAAGTGAGCCTGCAATTAAAGAGTTAAATGCCCGAATTATAACGGTATCCTTTGATATCACCTATCCTCTCTCAAGCTCTTGTAGGCCCCTGGATATTTTCCTGCTAGCATTTCTGTCAGTTTATCCAGTGCAAAACCTGCTTGCCCTCCAGTACTAACTATCCCGTACCATGCTCTGACCATGACCCAGACCTCTGGTTCCTTTTCCTTATCCAACTCTTCCCCGTACAGGAACAAGGAGAATGGTAGAGATGGATCATCCATGTACAGTTGATTGTACAGCTTGCTGATATCTGAGCTCCAGATAAATTCTGTACATCTGCACCTTACCATTATATTGAAAATCAGGCCAATTCTGTTCTCTCCTTTTGCCAATATCTCATTCATCCTGGTCATGGAGGGGTCGACCACCATCCTCACCGGCGTTGTAACTGAGTCCATCTTCATCACCAACCTCCAAGGATTGAAGTGTTTGAACTCAGCATTCATTATTAACCCTTTCTTGTCCTCAGGCATATCTTCTAGCTTGATCACGAAACCCTTCTCCACCAGATCCTTGTGCACCTTCCTCATTCCATCCTTGACAATCTCTGATTTTTTACACTGAGTTTTGTAGACCTTCAACGCTTGACTGTAATTACTCGGGTTGCTGTGGACTGCTGTCAGGAACTCAACTGGATTCTTCAGGAAAGGGTAGTTCACTGTAACCTTCTTGTTGATCACATCAATCTTGACACTCTCCTCAATCAGCTGCTGCTCTCTCGCTTCTCTGAGAGAGATTGCAGTACGCCTACTACAAGTTTTGCAGTTTAAACATTTAGAACATTCTGCACACCTAAAACCTCCTCCTTCTTCAGAGTCTTCATCATCCATTGCATTTCTGAACTTTGCCATTGGAACCTTTGACTTGAACAGTCCAAAACTTTCCTTGTCCAGGGCTGTGCTGATAACATGATCTGGAGAATTGCACTCCCCCGTGTTTACAATCACACTCCCTGGTTCCTCATCTTGATCTACTCCATCTTCACCCAGGGCTGTACTGGATCTACGGTCTGGAGAATTACACTCCCCCGCTGACCCACTTACACTCCCTGAGTTTACCTCCTTCTTGATGAATCGTTGAAATGATCTCCAGGCCTCTTGCTCCATATGCACCCTGCACGCCTTCCCCTGAGACTCCAGGATTGAATTCAACCTTTGATGATCATCTAAGCTTGATTCAAGATCGTCTTCTACTTCCCCATTACAATCTATAATATCTTCCTTAGTTATAGGATGTGGGTTCACTGTTAGACCTAGTTTCTCATTTGTTCTTATTGCATAACAGCGCTGCTCTACCTCATCATCTAAGTTCTCCATTATCCGCTCCCTTATTAAAAAAACAGCATTTGACATTTCAGGATACTTCTCATCATTTACTGTGGTGAAGGATTTGTGTGGTCCAGCAAAAATTATTCTTGAGCCATTGACATCTTTAAAAGGACTTAAATATACAGCTACTCCCAACGGCAGTACTTTTATCATCACAGGATCCAAGTTTGTGTTCTTTATTCCCAGCAAAAGATGAACCTTAGAACCGCCCACTTTCTCTGGAAGAACTACATCCTTCTCCTCGTCCTTGGCTTGATCCAGGTACTGTTGACAAATCTCCGTCAATTCATAGGTTCCAAAACCTCTGGTGACGTCATCCATGCCTACACACACTACTTCATGATACTCTCCTCTTTCTCCAGGTCCTAGGTTGAATCTAAACGTACCATGATTTGATCTAACCTTACTGCCGCCTACCACAGTGAGATTAGTAGGGTTACTTGAAACTTTCTGCAATCCTTCTTTCTCTGCCAGTAAGCCATCTATAATGTGTATGTTCGCTCCTCTGTCAAAGAACACCAGTGCCTCCGAACTCCCAATCTTGATAGTCTGCATCAAATAGCAAGAATGTTCAAGTACTTCATGAATAATCTTCTCCGGAGAAATGGCGTCCATCCATCCCGTCTCCGAGTCTATAGATGGAGCAGGTATGTTCTCAAACTTCTTCTGATCCCATCCTAGTGCATTGGCTCCTGTAAAGTTTGAATGAGTTAAAGTTAGGAGTAACAATAAAGTTAAGAAAGCTAGCAATAATAAACCGACCTTGAGCAGGCAGAGCTGTAGGCGGGACTGTAGTAGCTGGGGGCCAGATCAGGGTTGGGAACTTAGGTTTGATAGCACTAGGACCCTTCTCAAGTAAAACTGCGTAGCGCTGTTTAAGGCCAGTGACGTTGGCCTTAATTTCTGGGAGGATAGGTGACCTGAGCAGCTGTGATAAAGCAATACGTAGTCGTAAACCAGACGGAACACTAGAGTCCTCGTTCCACTCGGCTCCAGGGAACACTGCTGGGGCAAGGGGAAACCCCCAGGTATCGTTGATAGGGGAGAGTAGAGCAGGTGGGGCTAAGGAGAACTCGTAGTCTGCTAGTTTCAGGCCTGGAAAGTTCTGGTCCAGGTAGAGAGGGTTACTGGCTAAAACCGTTAAAGGGAAAGGATAGATTAGGATGATAACTTTAGCGTAGCTGTCAGAAGTCGGATACACGAACAATCTGAGGCAGAAGGCTGACAAGCCGGTTGCTTGGTATAGGTTAGGAGGAACTACTTGACCATTTTGAGAGAAACTGAACTGACAATCATCAGAAGATAGATAGCTGGAGCAAAGTGTACCAGGAGGGAACGTGAAAATAGAGAGGTCTGGTATAGATAAAGTTAACTGAGTAGGGTTGACTGTAGTCCAGAAGGAAGCCGCATGGAATGATTTATTGTCCCAGAGACTGCCAAGTAGGTGGAACGAGGCTTCGTCTACTCTGAGGTTGTCTGCCGAGAGAGAGACTGACAGGCAGCCTAACGTCTTCTTGTTCCAGTTGACGCTGGAAAGGAGCACTGAGCCGAAATCGTCGACAGTGTCGACTGAGAGATCTTTGAGTACTCGTAGAGAGAGATCCGCCGGATCAGAGAAACCAGTGTTGCTACGGATTACCGTCCGAGCTGGAGGCATGACTGAAAAAGGAAGAGTTAGAAAGAAAGAAATATAAATAAGTAAATTAGGAAATAAATTAGTTGAATTAATAGAGAGAAGTTTGAAAGTAAGAGTTTCTAAATGAAAAATTATATACTAATAAAAGTAAGAGTACATTAATGAACCAAGTAGTACAAAGGATTAATTGATGAAACATTTAAACAATTAAAGTAAGAATAAATTAATGAATGCTAATGACTGTCCTTCGGGATGCCGTAAAAAGTTTCCAAAAGTAAATTAAAAAACTGAAATTAGTATAGAATAGGAACAATAAACATTATTGGAATATATTAACTGTACTTAAAATTATAAGTTAGATGGTCGAATCACAGGAAAAAATTTAAATGTATAAAAGAAAATATTGATGCAAAATAAACGTTAAAATAAAATGCTAACAAATAACAGTAAATATTCATAAAGTAAAGATAAAATAATGCATAAGATGTTATCAAATAATAATAAATATTCATAAGTTAAATTCTAGATGGTCGAAACATTAATAAAGTAACAATATAGAAATCAAATAAATAGTAAAAATAAGTTAAGCACCAATTGAAATTATAAGTCAAAATAATAAAATAATTGTAAATGGAACTAGTAAAATAATAAGTACTAATTAAAAAAGGAGTTGCCAACCAATTGAAATTATAAGTCAAAATAATAAAGCAATTGTAAAAGAAGTAGTAAGGATCTCGTAAAGGTGAAATCAGGTTTAAAGGAGAAAGTAACGAAACCAAAAGTTAAACCTCGTAGAGAAAAAATATCTATGCAGAGCAGTGTTAAAATTTAAATCGTCACTGTAAAGATTGGTAGAAAATACTGGACTGAATAAAAGTAAAATAAGCATTAGGCGTGTAGAAGAATAAACTTAGCTAATAACGCTGTTATAAAATAATACTCTCCTTCTGAGAAGAATAGCAGAAAGTAGTAGGATAACTCTGGGAGGTTGAAGGTAGACTGAGTGTAAGAGAGAAAGGTGAACACAGGTAGAGAGTAAGTAAGGTACACGTGCAGTACACATGTAGGACCGGGCCGCGTACAGCAATAGCAGTATATAATTGGGAGCAGAGGCTAGTCCAGAAGTCGTCTTCAACTTGTTTATCCTATCTAGACAATTCTTGTCAGTAGCCTAAACAACGATNAGTCGGTTAAAATTTAGCCCAAATCCAACAATTTATCGCCCTATCACATCAATTTACGAAGACATGTAGGGATTATCAATTCATCTCAAATAAATAGAGTTATCCCGCTCAACTACTTAACATATTTTTCCGATCTGGCAAATATATCAAGGATGAGCATTTAGGATTTATTAATTGAACTCAAGCAGAGTTATTCCCCTCACTCCCTTAACGTATCTTTCCTAACTGGCAAACATGCTAACAGCGAGGGAATAGTTCAATAAATAAGAAAGAAAATTCTTTGTTATCATCCAGTGATTGTCACCTCAGGATATTGATCAAGAGGGTACAGTCGATGGATCATAATCTCAGGCAACTTCATCCAATCATCCACTCATGAACATCCATTATCACACTGCAGGGTGTCTATAAAAGCGGATAATATGGGTCTACAGATTCGTTTTTTATCAGATTTTCAAAATTGAGACCATTTTTTAAATCTCTGTACAATTTCCGGCTCAATGAGCCCCATTTTAGGCTTGTAGACATAAAAATAACAATTGCACTGTAATAAACTGTAACCTAACCTTGAATATAAAATTGTGAAAATTGAGTTTATCTTTTATTTTTAATTTTCTCTAGTTGCCTATATAATTATTACTTTTATATCTACAAGCCTAAAATTGGACTTATTGAATCGGAAATTGTATGTATGATATAAAAAGTGGGCTTTATCTTGAAAATCCGATTACAACCGAGTCTGTAGACCCTTATTCCCAGTTTTTTGAGACATCGTTTATTCGAAAAATAAAAGTAACATCAACAGTGCTGAGTTTACACTATACGCGAGCGGGCATACTGGTTTTTTAACAATTTAAACACAAGTCAGAGAAAAACATATGGAGCACTCAACCGTTTTAAAAGTTCACCTCTGAGCAGTAGGCACAGAGGGGAACTGAATTTCTGCTTACAGCTCTTTTAACAGAAAGTTTAGGCATAAGAGAAATAAAAAATATCCCATTATGAGAGACTAACATGTTGAAAGAATTTATAGAATTTAGAAAGGCCAGGGTTTCGATTATTTCTAGGTAATCTCAGTACTCATAAGTCACAACAATCCGAGGGTCTAAAAATAATCTAAGATAAAAAATTCAATTTTTATATGGAATCCAACAGTAAAAGTACATTTCGTAGTTTAGACTAAAACTAGAACAGAGATGAAACATCAAAGCCAATAAAATTTGAACAAATTAAAGTTAATGAAAATAACCAAGGAACAATAATGATAAAATAAATAATACATAATCAAGGAAGTCGGTCGGTCCTGTAAACTTTAAGTACCAACACTCGGGCTGGATCTTGTGATCGTGTAGAAGTAGATTAGTATGTATTATTATTATATTATAAAGATTTATTCACACACAAAGATGTAAATACATATATAAATGGTGTAGTTAAAATTTGTTTAAATAAATTTTTTTTGGAAATACAGGTTTCCAAAAGAAAAGAGAAAAAAATATGCAAAATTACGCACAAATAGAAAACATTGATTTTTACTCACTACATAACATATTTATCATTTTCAGAGATATATCCACAGGGTTCATCCCTAGGTCTGCAATTACAATTTGCTGGAGTTGTTTCCTGGCTCGCTCAATACTCTTCCTCACAAGATCTCTCTCTCTCTGGTATGGGATTCAAAGGATCTGGAGTCCGTCTCCTGCACTCGGGATTCACACAGCGTGTTCTGCATAGAATTATTCACTATCTGATCCGATAAGTCCACTACTAATCCTCTCAATCCCTCTGTCACATGCCTGCTGGAATCCAATGAATCTCTGATTTCATCAAGCTCCTCTCTCATCCTGTTCACAGCTAGACCCGGAGAACTATCAGCAATCACTTCTTGAATGGAATTGACAAGCTCTGCAGGAACATCCGTGTGTACTTGAGCAGAGATGTGTGCAAACCAATCCTGGATCATCTCCACCTTCTCGTCCAGCTTAGTATCCAGATTGTGTACTCTAGCCTCTAGCCTATCAAACCTCTGATCCTCCAGATCCAGTCTCTCCCAAATCTTGGAATTACTGTTCTCCAGGATCCCAATCTTATCTTGTAGCTCCAAATACATAGCTTCCGCTCCATGCACTGTTGTGGATAACTTCCTCATCCCACTGATGATGTTGTTAACCTTCTCCTCAACAATACTCTGGGGTTTATTCATCAATCTTACCCATTGATCCTTCTGACTATCAGCATTCAATCCTTCTGCAGACAGTCTTGATATTACTTCTTCTAAAGATCTGTTCAGGTCCAGATCTAACGCTCTCCGGATGGTTACTCCTTCAGGTTGCAGAACCCTGGGAGTATTTAGGCTAGGCAGAACAGAGTCTGATTGGACAAACCCTAAACCACCCATTCCTGCACTTCTAGAACGGACACCATCAGGTTGCAAATCAACATCTATTCTTGGGCTGGATAGAATGATCTCTGGTTGAACACGATTTTTAGATCTCTCTCTCCGATTTGTAGCGCTGTATGACTGTAAACCCTGCGGTGTGTTTGGCCTAGTAGATCCGAGTCCTGATGCTACAGGTCTCGATCCTACCACTGCTTCACTACTCCTGGATTCACCTAGAGTTTCTCCTCCCCTGTAAGCAGGTGCAGACACAACACTGTACGGTGATGATCTCTCTATGGGTTCTTCGTTATGGAACACGTAATCCAGATCACAACTTCTCATCATTATCTCCTGATTTCTTTCACTACCAGCCTCCTGAACTGGTACATGTTCATCCTGCTGGGGGTGTACTCCTGAGCAATCCCTGGATATCTGCCGGGCTCTCTTCCGGATTCCACTCAATCTATCCTTGAGATTCCCCAGTTCTCCCACCAACACTAAATCCCCTTTAGTTACTAAAACTTCTGAGATTTTTAGCTCAATATTCCCCAAAAATGTCTTATGATTAGCCTCAATAACATTCATCATCTGTTGAACAGAGCATGCCGATTCCCCCCACTTAATTATCTCATTTCTAAGTTGGGACAAATCATCTCTCAGTTTTACATCAATAGCGTTTGAAACAGCCCTCGATCTAGTACGGATTCTTGATTCAAACCGCGTCCCCCTGCTGCTTTCAATGTTATCATCAATAAACCCCGTAACATTAATCTGAGGAGTAGACGCATATCTATTGGGATCAATATTCTCAAATCGGTTAAATCTTGCGGCTTCAGGTAAATTTAAGGTACTGCTCAGTCTATCCCCTTCCCCTTCTGATGTAGACCTTCTTCTCCCTGCGCCCCGCATGGCAAATTAGGAAATGAGCTCAACAAATTTCACCACACTTAAAAACGTTTCCCCATAAATTTCCAATCTGGCATTTATAGAAGATTAAGTATGTTAAAATTAAGCCCAAATCCAACAGTTTATCGTCCTATCACATCAAACCACGAAGATATGTAGGGATTATCAAGTTAATCTCAAATAATAGAGTTATCCCGCTCAGTCACTTAACATATTTTTCCGAACTGGCAAATATATCAAGGATGAGAGATAGCTCAATAAATTAGACTCAATTAATTGTCATCCATGATCAACAACATTCAGGATTTATCAATTAATCTCAAAGCAGAGTTATTCTCCTCACTCACTTAATATATTTTTCCTATCTGGCAAATACACTAACAGTGAGGGAATAGCTCAATAAATTAAATCTCTTGGTATAGTCCAGTGTTCGTCCCTTCAAGATATTGACCAAGAAGGTACTGACGGTGGATCATAAATCTCAGGTAAACTGCTTTCATCCAATCATCCAATCACGAACATTTCATTAACATTCAATTTCATAACTTAGAATTTGTTCACTCAGTCCTTCACTATATTTTTCCAATTTGGCCAATATACTGACAACGAGAAACAAATCCAGTTTATAATTCAACTAAATGTCCCGTCTCAATTTACTAGATATAGATCTAATAAATGATAAGAGTTAGGACTATTAAAGGATCTCAGTTTAATAAAGCTTCCTTGTAAGCTTATTCCTTCATCAGTCCGTATATTTTCCAATTCAGGCAATATAGCGGCGACGAGAAATTTTTGCTAAATCTCAATTAGTTAACCGGTACCCTACAAGGTTGCGATTGAATGTTTCGCTACTTAGCGATTTTCCTAAAGACCTAATGAACTCTTTATAAGTACCGTGCGGTATTTCTCAAGATAGGATTGTAAGCCTTCCTCTTCTCAACGCTCTCCATAACAAAGGATAATAATAAGGTTCCGAACGTTTATTTCTCCGAGACTTCAATCTAAATAAGTTTAATAAACCCACAGAAAAAGCTTAGAGTGATAAATCATACAAATACAACAAATAAATCAACTCAGGCATTAAAAAAGTGTGGCAAGGAACCAACAAATCACATTTATAAATATCAATCATAACATAAACAAACGATATGCATACATATATATAAGGAATAATTACCACAGTGATCCTAGAATTTTTAGCACGGTTAATAATAGACGAACTTGTAAGACAAATAAATATATACTAAGATAGAAACTGCCCACTCCCACGCGAGAAATCTTGCGCCTGCGTAGTCAGTCTGTAAGCAGCTTCTAAAACTAGTTTTTCACAATACGTTCTGAACAGATTCGCAGGGAAAACTCAGGAATTCACAGGGGCATCAAATAGACTTCATACACGGAGCATGGCTCGCGTAACAAGTAGTGTAGATATTGATAGCTGATTGTGTCCATTGGTTTGGTTTTGGTCAATTACATGCTTATGTCCCTGTAGATATTGATAGCTGATTGTGCCCATTGGTTTGACATTGGTCAATTAATTGCTTGTGTCCCTTGAAACATTGATAGCTGATCATGCCAATTGGTTTGGCATTGATTGATTACATGCTTGTGTCCCTGTAGACATTGATAGCTGATCGTGCCCATTGGTTTGGCATTGGTCAATTACATGCTTATGTCCCTGTAGATATTGATAGGTGATTGTGCCCA